CTTGTATATTTAAGTTTAGTAATTTCACTTAAATGGCAATGATAATTACCTATTAATTGTTATTTAAGTAAAATTACTGAACTTAAATATACAATTTTGATAAAAATCACCATTAAAGAAGAAAATTTCAAATGGCATTTAGAGGCTTTTGCATCTGAACTCTTCATATAATTTTTTTGAGTGTTTAATATGTTTAAATAAAATATGTTTGAAGGTATCAAATCATTGGTATCAAATCATTGCCATATGGTATCAAAATTAGCGCAATCATAGTGTCACATGATCAATGTGACTAGTCGACAACAAGCTTAAAGCGTCATGGCATTGCATTAAGGTTGACTAGTCGACTAATCGCTTAGTAGGTTCAACCCCTAGCGAGCAGCGATGACGGGCCCAAGTCGGTGGCACCGCAACCCTGGTACCTTTAGTTACCTAAAGGCACCGGGGTGGTGGTGCCGCCGGCTTTGGCCCTTTCATTGCTGCTCGCAGAAAAAAACATCCACATTCAGACCAAAATAGACAACTTCCTGTCGGGCTGGTTTAAAACTTAGAGCACAAAAGCTGTTTGGACCGATGAAGTGTATATGTGTACCAAGTTTCATATTATTACATGCAAGTGTGTTTGATTTATGGACCAAATATTCAGACCAAGTTTATGGACCAAGTTAATTTAAAGGACAACTCCGGCGCAAAATGAACCTTTGGTCTAATTACACATTGTTACCTAGTCAACCGTTATCTGAGATTTGTTTTCATGATTGCCGAATGTAATTTAGAGTCTTACACACTAAAACTTTCCCACTATTAGCAAAACCTTACACTCAAGGAGCATATATATATATATATATATATATATGTGTGTGTGTGTGTGTGTGTGTTCCATCTTCTACACTTCTCCTCAAAGTGCATGCAGTGTAAATAAAGCAGTTGCATCAATGAAATGATAGTTAAGTTAGTCCATGGATTGATATTCTCTTGATTTGTGCTTATAGTTAAAAGTGCAATAATTCTGATTAATATAAATTTCTCAAATGACAACAATTGTTATGATTATTATTTTGAGCAAAATTATCGGGATTATCAATTTAACCATTATGCAGCATGACAGAAACTAGACTAAAATGCTCAGAAATTTAGTATACAATGTTCCATACACAGATGTTCCATTGGATAACATTTTCCAGACCAATGGTGTCATCGTAGACAGTGCATTGCAGCCGCAGCGCTGGTGCGAGAACCTGGCTATATGCAGTAATTAAAGCTGCCTCATTCCTCTGGCCACTGCCAGAGTGCGACATTGCAGAGCGTACTTAATCACATAGGATTTTCCTTCTTGTAATTTAAACAGCTTATCATGGACAGCAAGTTCATCCACAGACTGGCCAAATACCTCTTTGAAAAGGTTGGTGAATGCATCTAGAGATCTTGTGAGATGACCAGCTTGATCCCAGATTTATTTAGCCCATTGCAAGGTGTGGCCAGTAAACAGATGATAGAAACATCCATTTGGAACCGCTGTGGCTGCATTTTGAAGAGAAGCGAACATTGAAGTACAGTAGAAATCCACTGTGTTGCTGGATGGGCCATGGGACTGGCAGATAGTAGCACTAAAGATGTGATCGTTGGTGGAAGTAAAACCTATTGTAGCAGCGAAATCGGTGGCAGCAGCCCTTGGGATCCATTTATCATTTTCGATCTGATCTTCTGTAACAACTGAAGACAGACGCTAGGATGTATCAACACAAAGAATGCAAGGATATGTTAAGTATCCAAACAGGTAATTTAGCTTGATAATAACAATGTCTCTTTCTGATGCAGGTCCCAGGACTGAAGAGGATTCCGAGACTGCCAAGTGGACGAGGATGATGATGAAGATGGAGGGTAAGTAGTCAGGTATGAGCAACAAGACAAGAAAATGGATGATGTCTTTGATTAGTGACAACAGGTGGAGGTGACCAGAATTCTGGGGACAGGGAATGTATGGGAGGAACTGAGAAGTCTGGCACTGAGGGATTGAATGGATTTGTGACATCTGTATGTCAGTGTCACGATACAGAGAGAAGCAAACAGGTAAATAGTATCAAACAGAGTTTTATTAAACAGAGACATGGAGTGGAACAACAGATGAGACTGGCGAGTATGAATTGGAGAATCAGAACTGGATGATGAACTTAGCTGGACGAGAATCTTGATATCCTGTTTGCAGATGATGAGAGAGGATTTGGCGGGCTGATGGCAGCAGATAGATGACAGAAGTTGGATGATGGGAAGCGGATGTTTGGGGAACGAGTTCAGGTGTGGAATCTTCGAGGTAGGTTGGAATCAGTAAGTATTCGAGTAGAGTCTGTACACTCATGTAAGGACGAGACCAGACAAGGAACTAAAGGAGAAGTGATACTTTATAGTGTGTGTTGATGTTGTGTGGAGAATCAGAATTCTGGGGAGAGTAAATGAGTGGGCAGAGCGCACGCTGATGGTGACTCTGTGACACTCAGCAATTTGGTTGTTTTTAAATGTGCTTTATAAATAAGTATTGATAGATAGATAGATAGATAGATAGATAGATAGATAGATAGATAGATAGATAGATAGATAGATAGATAGATTGATTGATTGATTGATTGATTGATTGTTTTACTCTCGTATAGTTTCCCCTATTAAAGGAAGCCATTTTGCAGGAAGTTTTTTCAAAGTGCAAAGTACATCACTACATATTAGTACATGATCGGAAGTGTAATATTGTTCATAAATGCCTGTGAATTTTAGATTGGGTACGGTCTGTTTTACCTGGATCAGAATTATATGGATTTGGAAATCCCATGTTTTGCTATCCATGATCAGGTAACCCATCTTAATTTTGTGTAATTTTTTTTAAAGAAAAATTGAATTGGATCACCATGATCCAGATACACACCTTTTCAGATGACCAAATCCAGATTACTAGTGCTCTAAATAGGATCACAATTCATAATGTAGGCTGATAGTTAATGTAAAACTACAAAAAGTAGTCACTGTGGGGTCACTTTAAGTGTTTTTATTTGAAGAAATAAAATCTTTTCAGTTCATTGCAAGCAAACTCGATCAAACACAAAGCTTCTCTGGGGAATGCAAACCATTTGCAAGAGAATGCAACAGCATAACCTACACATTTTCTTCCATCTCATAGGTTTTTATCTTTCACGTTTGGGCTCTGTAGCCTCTCATCTGACCTACCTCAAATACATAAAAACAAATATATGTGCAATAAGGAATGCAGTTGCTAGAAACTACTTTTGACTAGTTCATCTCTGATGATTGTGTGATTAAGATATAAAGATTTAAAAAAAACATTTATATAGCAGTTATATATATATATAAATATGAATAAGTATTCTACATACCTATATTACTTTTATTAACTTGTATTATTTGACCAATTAGAGTCAATGTAGTAGACACAGGTCTAATGGAAATAAAATCACCATAAATCATCATGAATGCGATTTTTCTTGTTTTTTTTGGTTTGTTCCAATGGTCAGACATGTATTTATCATTGATTCCAGAAAGAACATTTTATTTTTTTTAAACAGATTTCATCCGTGAACATCATACGCTGCACAAAAGTCCGCCACCATCAATGAATTCGAAGTAAAGGCAGAGATTGCAGCGTTACCTAGCTACTTCCTATGACAAGACCCCTGTTCCAAGATGGCGGCGGTTTTGACGCATGCTTAGAACCCCAAGGTGAGGTCTAGTGTATATGTCTATGAAACCCAATGATATGGTTCCCAGGTTTGCATAACAAACTTAGCGCAATGTCACTGGCAAGTACCCTGATTCATTACACATTAGGACACTGCCTCTATTTCCGACAACCTGACAACATCCTCATTGTAAAACGTCACTACTGGTACTTACTAACAAAAGCAGCACAGACATCTTTCTGACATTATTTTGTTTTTGTTATTTAAAACTACACTATGATAAATACTTTAAAATGTTGCAGGGATCTGTTAAATAAAGGTTAGCAAGATTATGCTAATTACCTCATGTATGTTCATGCTGATATATATAATTAAATAACTGTTTAAAAAAAAAAGTGTTTAGTGTTTCTGTCCACTAAACAGCCCTTAAAATGTCTGACTCCCTGATCAGTGCCCTGACTACTAAACTAGGGAGCTGGTTGAGACGCACCCTGGTATTTCTCTTTATGCCATTCACAGCAATATGGTCATACATGATGGATAAGTGGAAAAGTCTGACTAAAACTGGTGAAGGCTATAAATTATGTAAATTAATGCAATTTGAATATATAATTTTAATGCATAGTGTCTACATGCATATATGTCGCACCACGGGAAAACTACAGTAATTCGCTCCATTTGACAGAACAAGGGTAAGCACTCTCATAATCAAAAGAAGTTCATTGGAACATAAACTGGTGCCCCATATTGCCCTGGTTATATAGGCTACAAAACATTAGATAAAACATGTTGTGGTTAAAAAAAAAAAAGTAGTTGTAATCAAGAGTGCAAGTGATGGTATATTTTGACATAGACATAAAATTCAAAATATATTTACACACCAAATTTCAGAATGACAGCAAATGACTTCAGGCTCTTGCAGGGAATCTGTCCTTGGTGCTGAATCTGTGAACCCGTTTACAACAACAGAATGCACTGTGGCAGCCATCATTATTCTTCCTTCAGTGCACGATTATGCATGTATTTCGAATATATATGACACAGAACGACAATGATTCTATCTTCTCTCCACCATTTGCGCTTAATGATCAAAAAGAGCACATAGCCCAAAAAATCATTCCCAGGCCAGCAAATTAAATCTGGGTGGGAAAAAGTTTCTGATTGTTTTCTCAAATATGACAAGGAAATGTGGAAAACACTGATTCATTGGATCCTGAACGCGTCGTATCAATTTTTAGTGGGCACTTTAAATCTGCAAATGAGCCAAGACTAAGCAATGCAAACAACGCAAGCAAGAGAGTTATTAGTTCCACATACCTGCGCTGAGACTGTGTAACGTTACCTCGCGTTCTTCAGGTCTTCTCTGATAAATCGCAATAGACGCAAATGTTTAACACTTGACTTTATTTCATCACAGAAAAGTCAGACGAACCTCTAGAACCCTTCACACATGTTTATGGTGAGACGCGCCTCAAATCTGTTGGGCTTAATGTTGGTGATGCTCTAACAACTCCCTCCCTCTCTCTGCACGTCACTGACCGGTCACGGACTGACAACCCTTCAAACAACGGCTGTGTGTATGCGTACTGTGTCATTACTCCTGTGTTATTGGTTTTAAATAGATGATGTTGAGTATGGCATGGTGTTCATGTCTGTTGTAATGTTCTGGGGGATGTAGCCTATGGAGTAGGCTAATGTGTTATTGTTGTAGCTTAGAGCCTGACTGGCATAAAGTTCGGAACGATTTGCCGCATCTTATACCATTTCACTTAGGGTTGTGTGACTGACTAACAGTATAAAACAACAAAACATATTACCCTTTTTGGTGACAGTTTAGATTAAAGCCCGGAAAGTAGGCTACTGCGTAATTCAGACGAATTTATAGTGTAACGTTTGGTAATTATAATAGTGTACCTATAAAGTAGATGTAAATATGCACACTACGTAAAGTTCGAGGAATAAAGGAGTAGGCCAACCAGGATAATTAAAAAAATATTTATACTGTATATAACTAAGGGGTACTTATTCTACTATTATGTACAATAATCTTACATTTGGGAGCAATTTAGCGAGAACGTAGGCTACCTTTTTGTAATAATGGTGTACCAATAAAGATTGTATATAGGCTTTTTAAAAATTACAGGGTACATATCTATGTATTTTAAATAGTTTTTTTTTTTTCCTAGCAAAAGTGCAGATGTTTAAGTTTGGGTTTACATGTTTCAAGGGAAAAGTAAAGCTAAACCATTGCAATTTTTTTTTTAAATAGGCTACTGCAAAAAAATATATTTTTGTTTCATGTTACAAGGTAAGTACAATAAAAAAACATGCACACAATCTAATATCTCTGATTCAGAATTCAGAAACCTTTATTTAAAAAACAACGTATTACAGTTGGTCTGAAGTGATCGTCTACAGTTTAAAAAGTGTAAAATATTGTAATTTTTCTTACAAACCCTTATCGTTTCCCTTTAGAAGTATGGGCTGTATGCAGTAGCCTATGTGCTGTTTGATGCTCCACTTTTAGGAACACATGAGCTTGGTTTATAAGTGTTCTGAATTAAGTTGTTTTTCAAATACAGGTTTCTGAGTCAATGATATAAGATGCATTTATTTTTATTGTACTTACCCTGTAACTATTTGAAACAATAGCCTATCTTTCGCCAATATTTAAGCAAAAGTTGCAATGGTTTTAGTTGTCAGTGCATTTTTGTTAAAATGATTACTGTATAAATGCCTAGATATGTACCCTATAATTTTTAAAAAGCCTATACACAATATGCCCAAGATAGCAAACTGACATTGAATCAACGTGGAAATATGACATCGAAACAACGTTGATCTGACATTGTTTTGCTCATTGAATTAACGTTGAACCAACGTCAGACGCGTCATTCTTTCAAAACTAACGGAAAATCCAACACTATCTCACGACCAATTCGTACGAATTCGACGCATGATTAAAAAGTGTCTAATTCGTACTAATTCGTACGACCTCACTCGTACTAATTTGTACGATTTGTCTAAACCCACGTGATGGTTAGGTTTAGGGGCGGGGTCAGGGGTAGGTCATTCGTACGAATTCATACGAATTGGCCAATTCGTAAAATATGTACGATTTAGCAAAATTGTATTAATTCGTACGAGTGAGGTCGTATGAATTGTTACGAATTAGCCACTTTTTAATCATTCGTCGAATTCGTACGACTTGGTCGTGAGATCGGGTTGGGAAAATCAACTTGAAATCAACGCGTTGTTTCAACGTTATGAAAGCAAACCAATTTTCGATTTTCATTTAGCTTTGAAGAATGCCGCGTCTGACGTTGGTTCAACGTTAATTCGATGAGCAAAATCAACGTTGTTTCAATGTCATGAGAGACGTCGTTCAATGTCAGTTTGCTGTTTTTTACAAAAAGGCACGCATTGTATGTTCTTGCTAAATTGCTCCCAAATGTAAGATTGTTGTAAGATTGTGTCATAATAGTCAACAGAATAAGTTTGTTGTGTTTGTCAGGAGATGGCCTTAATAATATAATACTTACAGTATATATAGCCTATATATATATATATATATATATATATATATATATATATTTACCCCTTTATTTCCCAAACTTTACTGTTCCCTTATACTTACATGTATAAGTACACTATAATTACAGAAAGTTAGACTGTAAAATCGCTTTAATTACGCAGTAGCCTACTTTCGGGCTGTAATGCGTTAACATTTTTTTTTTTTTTTAGCTTGATCTTGTTACATGTGTCCTGTGTTTCCACCGTTCTTTGTGTATTTGGTTCAGTCCTGTTTCCATTTTCCCACTCCTCATTACTGTTTAGTTCATTCATCTGTGTTAGGTTAATTTGCCCCAGCTGTGCCTTGTTCCCCTATAGTCTGTTCTCCATTCGGTTCACGTGACGTCACTGTAGCTTTGCGCCGCCATCTTTATGACCAACGGTCATATTAATACATTAATACCGGCAATGTTGTGCAGTTGGCTGCAACAACAGCCGAAAGAGGAATCCTGAACTGATATTTTATTCTATACCAAAAGAAGAGAGAAGAGAAAATCATTTATTTAAAAGATTTGAAGTCTCATGTTTTTAATTATATTTCTATTATAGCCTACTCTCAGTAGCCAACATTATACAAACAGATATTGTCAGATAATGTTTTTTTTTTTTCTTCATTTTATTTGTTGGATCTGTTTAAATGCACTTTATCATGGTAAGTTATTAGATTTGGGGTTATTTTTAACATAACTGTCTGTCTGTTAGTTAATACCTACCTAAATCTAATAAATATTTTTCTGAAGTTCATAGATATTGTCTTCGTCACATGCGCTTTAGATGTTATTTTGCTTAAGTAATGTTAGCTCTGCAGACAATGCATAATCTCAGCCTTGAAATGCATATTAAAGGAGTTCTTCCAAAAATGATAATTCTGCCGTCATTTAAGTACTCACCTTCATGTGCAAATCCTTAAGTTTACTTGAAGACAAAGGGACATTATTGAATATGTAGCCTAATGGAGACTCTTCTTGTCGATGTAATGAAAGTGAATGAGTAACATTAGCCTACTGGGGGCTGTTACGCAACAAATAACCATCACAACAAAAGTATCATAAAAGTGGTCTACGACTCGTCCATTATATTAACATCATTATTTATTAATATGATAGCTTTATGTGACGAACAAACTGCAATTTAAGTAGTTATATTATAATCACTGAGGAGCTTTACCTCTTGATAGCTTTTAATCGCAGCCAAATCATTCAAAAAGATTCGACTCAAAAGACTCTTTCATTTTGATATTTGTGATTATTAAACCTTCTTTGTAACTGAACATCTGTTCTTCTTTCGGACAGATATGGCAGTCTTTTATGATATTTGACTGATGTCTCTGACTTTGCTGATGCAGGTGTCTCTCTGGACTTTGCCAGTGCTGCTGCTCGGATTATACAGATTCATTCATGCCAGCCGAACTGCTGCAGAAGATTCATTCATGACATCGCCTTGACTCTCATGAATGCGTGCCATAGCACTATATTTCTATATCATGAAAGGCCAATTGGGGCAAGCCTGGGGCAGATAATAATGGACTAAAGAAAACTGGGGGCAACAAATAAGGATCGGAGCCTAAAATTGAAATATTCTCCAGGTATCTCTGTCTCTCTCTCCCTCATTCAAATAGGCAGTTTGGGTGGCCGTACTGGGCGAATCAGTCGCAAATATGGCGGCGTTCTATTTGTAGCACGCGCCCTACCAGAGCCTTCACCGCTTGTTCCGTCCAGCCCAGCCCAGCTCAGCCCAGCCTTTACCGCTGGTTCCGTCCAGCCCAGCCCAGCCTGCACTCCACATCAATTCCAGTCCGGAGCTCATGCATTGTGCCATACCCACCATACCAGTGGGGTTCTTGGTAGTACTGGAAGATGAGGGTGAGCTTAATGACTGGGACACAGAACTTCCACCACTGATCCCAGCCAGCCCCGAGCCACTTCCTGTCCAGCTTTGACCAGGCGTAACTCCCAAGTTGGGGCGCGAGGCTCTGGGCGTGGGTGGCGTACGATGCGACGATGAGAACCCGGGTGTATGGAGACCAAACTCGGCTGGGTTCCAGAGATGCGGTCACTTCCTGTCCAGCTTTGACCGGCCGCGCTGATCCAACCCAGCCCAAGGTCTTCACTGCTGGTCTTAGTCAGCCCCAAGCCTTCGCCGCTGGTCACGCCTGCCAAGCCAGAGCTTCTCGTCCCGCCCAGTCCCAAGCCTTCTCCGCTTGTCCCGCCCAGTCCCGAGCCTTCTCCGCTGGTCCCGCCCAGTCCAGAGCCTTCACCGCTGGTCCCGCCCAGTCCCGAACTTTCTCCGCTGGTCTACGCTGGTTTCCCCTGTTCTTTGTGTATTTGGTTCCGTCCTGTTTCCATTTTCCCACTCCTTGTTTCTGTTTAGTTCATTCATCTGTGTTAGGTCAATTTGCCCCAGCTATGCCTTGTTCCCCTAGTCTGTTCTCTCTGTATTTAAACCCTGTGTTCTCCTCACTCCTGGTCCGTTCTCGTTTATAGTATAGTGTGATATTGTGGTTCCTGAGTTTTGTTTATTAAAGATCCTTTTTCCTGTTATTCCTCGTCTCCTCGTGCTTCCAGTACCACGCTACCATAACAGATCTAGGGTCAGTAAATTCTGTGATCGATAATAATAACAAAAACAGAATGTGACCAGTAATAAAGTGGTCATTATCATCCAAATAATCTAAATTTCCTCAGATCCCATTTGTCTCATATTAGCACTGGGGCTTTGGAACAGAGCTTTCATGCGCAATAGAAATTGTGCTGGTCCATGGGCAGTCTATGGATGCCCAATGCAGATTTAGGTGGTGTGTTTTGGGGTATCAGTACTCTGTTGGGAAATTAAATGTCCTGCTTCACTAATAATTAGATCTCTTAAAAGTAAAAGGCCCCAAAACACAGGCTTGACGTAAGACATTCCATAGACGTAGCGGTTTTTATACTGTACAAACAGAGCCGGACAGTAACAGAGTACATTTACTTGAGTACAGTACTTAAGTACAATTTTGAGGGATATGTACTTCACTCGAGTATCATTTTTGGGGAGTACTCGTGACTTTATTTAAGTACATTTGAGAGGGAAATATTGTACTCTTTACTCCACTATTTCTATCCATAATTGTGAGTATCCGTTACTTCTGTAAAAAAAAAAAAAAAAAAAAAATGGAAAAAAGATACATTTCGGAAACCATCAATTTGTTGTTTTCTCACGAAACCATGGACGAAACAATGGATGAAGATGCAGCAGGTCCATCCCGTGAATGTGCCAACCCGTGGCCCCACCTCACCAGACTATTTCAGTTTTCTTAATTTTCTGAAATGTTAAATAAAGCAACATGGTAAAAAGATGAAAATGTCTTGATTTTACATTCAATTCCTTTTACATTCTCCAGGGTATTAACGTTAACATTTTTTTATAACTCCATGTAGGACGTTTCTGTCCATAAATGCAATAACTGTGGCAGTAGTAATGCAATATTTAGAAAATGTACTCTTGATACTCAAGCACTTTTAAAAACAATTACTTCAGTACTTTTACTTAAGTACACATCTGACCTTGAGAAAAATTTAGCAAGGGGAATCTGTATTTTTACTCAAGTAATAAAGCTGTGTACTCTGTCTGCCTCTGTGTACAAACTACATTTTCCGTCCCCTTACACAAACCCTACCCATCACACACTACTTTTTGCATTTTTACATTTTCAAAAAAAAACAAACAAACAAAAAAAAAAAAACAACTACTAATTCTTAACGATTTATAAGTGTATCCATAGTGACCTCAAATTAGATTTCCAAGTTCACATGAGTCTGTGTGCATTCAGGTTTAAGTCTGCACGCATGGCATGAACAAACACAAACACACACACCCACACACCAAAGCTGTATGGTCTGTGTAGGGTTTTAATACCGAGAGGGGAATTTCAATGTTTACACCGAATTCATTTTCTATCAAAAAATAAATAACGAAATAAATAAATCCTATTGGTCTTACCACTGGTAAGAGAACTAACAAAGTCCTGAGCAGCTGGAGAAAATATACAGAAGGACCATTTCATGCTTCTTTTGACTCTCTTAGCATACCATTTTTATCTGGAGAGAAGATCACAGATCACCACAGCCAGTGTCAGGATCATCTTAAAGAAGGGACATCTACAGACTGAGTTTCATTTTCCCTTCTTTATTTGCAATATCATACATTAGGTATAAATGGCAACATAGATTGCTTGGAAAAGCATAGATTATGTCAAGACAACAAAGGCAGGACTAACATACAATGCTACAAAATACAACAGTTTACATGGTTTATTTATAGGTTATGGATCGATATTATAGGAACAGAGATAGTGCTTTGGGATCAATTCAGGACCTTTCTATTTGAGAGACAGAAAGAGTGCAAAATAAGGCATTCTGTTGATTCTGTCCTCTAAATGCAATAAAACAATCTTCAACTCAATGGATGTCAATAAAACAGGTGGACTAAATCACACAAAGCAAAAGGACAACAAAATGATGCACAATACCAGACACATAAAGAACAACAAAGAAATAGGGAAAAGTGTGATGAAATGAGGAACAAAATTCTTCCTTTCATCTTCTACAACCACATAACTCAAAGTACAGGAACACATATTGATTTATGATTAATGCAGAAAAGGTAATTACATTGTTTTTATAATTTGGGTGTCAAAAATGATTAAGAATTCATTATAATTGTCAAGAGTTGACTAAAGGAGCAGATATATTTGACAGTTCACCCAAAAATGTAAATTCTGTAACCCTCGTGCCATTCTAAATGTTCTGAAATGTTTTTTTTTTTAATTTTTTTTATTCAATGCAAGTCAATGGTTACCAACAATCTTCAAATTTCTTCTTCGCATCAGAAAGAAAGTCATGCAGATTTTGAATATCAGAAGGGTGAGTAAATAATGAGACGATTTTTTTTATTTTTGGGTGAACTATCCCTTCAAGGCAAACACCAGAGGCAAAGAAACAAGCAAGAATATTAGCAGTTTGTTCATTCATTTGAATTAATTGTATTCAATCATTCATTCAGCAGCACAGGAATAGTAAGGAGTAGGTAAGGCATATAGATCAAGAGGACACTCAAAGCATGCCAAGTTAAACCTGTTTTTTTTTTTTTTTTTTTTTAACTTTCTTTACAACAGCCAAGATACACAGAGCAAGAGATGCAATACTTCCATCCCAGGAGCAGTAACAGCATTCAGTTAACAGTACAGCTACATGAGACTAGTGCACACAATACTGGATTGAATACTGGCCATCATTGTTGTGGCTATGCAGTTAGTGCAACACTCCTCTCGCTGGGTTCAGCATGGCACTGATGCGAAGCAGGGTTTTGGAGAGGCAAGAAAATAAAGAAAGCAGGGAGTTTGCATAAGAGTTGAATAAAGATAATTTAGCACTGAAGGCTTTCTAGAGCAAGATCAACATCTTATTAAATCCACAGAAATAAAAGAGAAGCCAAAAAGTGAGCATATATATATATATATATTGAAGAGTTCAGATGCAAAAGCCTCTAAATGCCATTTGAAATTTTCTTCTTTAATGATAATTTTTATCAATCTTGTATATATAAGTTTAGTAATTTCACTTAAATAACAATAAATAGGTAATTATCATTGCCATTTAAGTGAAATCACTGAACTTAAATATACAAACTTGATAAAAATGATCATTCTAGAAGAAAATTTCAAATGGCATTTAGAGGCTTTTGCATCTGAACTCTTCATATATATATATATATATATATATATATAGAAAGAAAGAAAGAAAGAAAGAAAGAAAGAAAGAAAGAAAGAAAGAACAAAAAAATAAATAAACCTGGCAAGTGTTAGAACAAAACTGACACCATGTGGTTTAAAAATCTAACCAAGCGGATTTTCCCATCTGAGAAATGCATCTAATTCCAAAATTTACAAAAGTAAAAGATGGGAAGCAGGACAAACTACACCACAAACTACAATAAAGACATTTAAATAATTAAAATGATGTTCAGATTTTACAATATTAACTATGTTAAAAGAGAAAAAAACATATTTTATATGCATCTGCCTCGTTTATTCTACATGCTGTAATACTTTTATAATCTCAAATTAAATCTTCCATTGATAGCATAACATTCTTCATAAATGCACATGATTATTTCAAGTGGATCCTTTCTGTACCCAAACATGCAAGCATAGACAAGTTATCAGACCATAGTAAGATGATAGCAGCCAATCAGCTAAAACTTTAAAACCATGGAATCCAATCAGGTCACAGATAACAGCCAAAAGCAGTGTTTTTGTTTTTGACAAAATGTAGTCGGAAAATCAAATGTGTAAAACACATTAGTAAATGATTTCATTATGCAAAGTACACGGTCATTTCCATGTCATGTTACAATGTTTTGAGCAGTACGCACCAATGATAACAACAATTGCACAAATATCTACCTGAATATTAGCATTATATCAGCTGTGTGATGACATGGTTACAAAATTACACATTTAAAAGGGACAATGATCACAAAAGTGGACTATGAAAGTTACTAAAACATGTAAACCAGCTGATAATTGTACTTGTTTTATGTTAAAGCAAATTCACTTTCATTCAATTCCCGTCAGTTGTAAATTTGCCCAAATGACGTACCTCTGTAATGTAATGACATTTAGTTGGTATAAAAATGTTCTTATATTGTTTAAATGGACTGTATTAAGTATTAGCAAAAAGTTAAAGCAGCAGGAGGAGAAAAATGTCAATGATGTTATAATACAAGTTGTGTTAAATCTAAACAATGGTGTAAAGGTAATTCTGTTGGTACAGCAGAAATGACCATTTACGAAATCAATATTTACTTGTATGCTGATTTATCATTTGTATGCTGTCTTTCTCAATTTTGCACATGACTGAAACAAAATACCACACGCACACACACACAAACACACTTACTTTTCTCATGTTCCTAGGATGTAGTAGATAGTAGAAATACTATGGCAAAAGGAGGATATTTTAAAACACTTGGTGTATTAAAGGGTTAACAAAGTTATACCTTTTTAGTTTGACATTTTATATGGGTACTGTGAAAGAAAGCCATGTTTATGAACCGACATTAAATAATTATTTTAATTAATATTAAATATATTTTTTAAAAATCATAAAACCTGAAATGTTTCATAAACATTGCATCCAACTAAAGCTCTGTTGGCTTGTGCATTGCAGCAATTCTTGGCACGCTTTTTACCATAAAATAAACAAAACGTTGTTAAACTGTTTTCACACCTGAAATATGGCAAATTCAAGACTGAGAGATATTTGATTTAAACATTTACAGTAATGACACTTCCAACGAGAAAACACTGAAGACTCCAAAAAGAGAGTACTGAAACTGACACCAGAAGTACTTCTTCAAATAGATTAAGATAAATTGGTATAGTGCTAAGGGGAAGACAGTAACCCCATCGGCTTTGGCGATTACCTTTGGAAAACCTGAATGGGAGGATGGGAAGAATGTTTTAGGAAGCACACAACTCTGAATCTGTAATGAGACTTGGGGCATGTGGTGAAATCATTCTGTCAGCCACCAGTGCTTTGAGATAAGATGGCCTGCTAGACTTCTTCTAAAAACCGATCTGCACAAAAGTCAGACAGTCAAGTTTGTGATGTAAACAGCCCTTCCCGTGTTATTCAGTCTTTTTCTTTTTTTTTTTTAAATCTCTAAAACTATTTTTAATCATTAAGGTAAACTCCTCGACTGGCCTAAATCGAAATGATGCAAACCATGGGAAAATGATTTGCTAGGTTTTTAAACAGAAAAAGACAGGACATGCTTTGAGATAATTGTGGTTTTGGTTTAACGTTAGTTACAGTATAGATAAAATGGTAAAAGGTAAGGGCAGAGATTTGGGGTAGTTGGTAGATTCACATTCACTCCCTCTTTTTCCTGTTTTATTCACTGTTAATGAGGGAGGGATGGATGAATTGAGGGTTGACAAAGGAAAATCCATCGAATTCTGCCTGGTCGATGTTGGCGATGACCAGCTCGTCAGGAGGGGTCAGTTGTGGCTGTGTGCGAGTGAAGAACTTGTCAAAGTTCTCTGCCCCCTTTCCACACTATAAAACAAACAAACAAAAAAAGAGGTAGTAAGTGAGAAAAAGATTACAGAAAAAAAAAATAATATTTTTGACACAGTTTATTGTAACACTGTGTCCTAACTACACGCGCCGCGACACGCGATAAAAGGTATCTTTTCCATGTTAATCAGAGTTTTTGTCCTAACCAGACGCGACGGCGACACGCGAAATTTCTAATTTAGAAACGGTTCCTATTTCTGCGACGTCGCGGCTGACGGAATGAAGAAATTACACTGGTTATGAGTACACATCATTTATTTTTAGTTAAAAATAGGTCACTGTGCCACAAGCGATAACGGATAATTCACCTCAGATTTTGAAAGCATGTAATATAGTGTTCAAAATGAATTCTATGCAAACATACGACTGTACTTCATAACAAAATTAGTCAATGAGTATATTTTGTTAATGTTTTGATTTTTAATAATGTTATTTCTTGATTTGATTATGTCCTTACCCATATTCAATGCGAGTGCGGGCCAACAGTGCGCTTTCACAGAGAGACTCTGCTAAAAACCATAGGCTCACACGCTGTTCTGAATGTTCGGCATCTCACAGTCGCGTCGCGTCTCGTGTGGACAGACACACTTGCTGTCGCTGGAATTTTATCGCGTCGTGTGTAGTTAGGACACGGTGTAATACTATATGTAGTTTTAATGGTCTCACAGTCCCAGAAGATGCACTGTATATAATTTGACACAATTGGCAGAAGTCATAAGTTTGTAAAATAGATTTTGTATGGTAGATAAAAAACATGGTTATTAGTTCAAACTATTTTATCTTCAGTTTTAATTCTAAATGTAAGGGGTTTTCAGTGGTTAGTTTGTAGGAAAAGTGTTTACATTCTTTGTAGAAAATATGGGATTTTGATGACTATTCATACGTCTGTTCCCAATTACTTCATGTCCAATGCACAGATTAACACTCCTCAGATTTCAGATTATATGCCCTAGTTCCTCTTCATTGGGATTATGCAATTGGTTCTACTAGTTTGCACAGCTGTAGAAGCCAAACACACTGACACCTGAAAGTAGCTTCTGACATGAACACTCTGCTTTAATTTGATAAAACTAGAGTAAAAAACAAAATGCAACGTGAGACTTCATGCATTCATTTGTTATAATCTTATATGTGACAAAACAACATTGTAATCACCAAAGGCTCATTAGTTCTCATTTTCTATTTTCCATGATAGGCTTATGAATACTTTTGCACCTCAGAGCATCTTGACAAATTAACTAAACCATTGTAAGTAGGATGTATATTAATATCCGACACTCAATCTATCATTTAGTAGACTTCTTTAACCTCCATATAATGTGTATAAAAAGGTACCAAGGGATCATTTATAATAACCCTATTATTATGACGAATCAATGATTCAAGGTTCCATATAAATGATATATACGTACATATGTGGGATATTGGGTGTGCACTTTTCAGCCGGTTCATGTTAGCTTTCACAAATTGTTTCAATACAAGAACAACAGCCAACAATTCCTTGTATGGCGTCACTTAATTTTTAAATGAAGGCTGTCAATTTAATGCAATAAAGTATTACAATGAACTACTAAAAATATATATATATATATAGAAATTTGTTACATTTAAATAGATTGCTCACTCAAAATGTTTAATTCTGTTATCATTTGCTCACCCTCATGTCATTCCAAACCCATAAGACTTTGGTTGATCTTTGAAACACAAATTAAGACATTTTTAATGAAATCTGTCTCTCCACTTGCGTAGAAACATCCTACATTCGATTTTATGATAATTTCTTAAGAGAGATGTGTACGCAAGGTTATTTTTTTGTGCATGCGTTCGTTCACGAATCACATGTACACAATAAAAAGTGTGTACGACTTTCTTTCAGGTGTGAAATCTCTAAATCACAAATTAAATTGTGCGCAGCTGGATAGTTTCAGATATCCGCCTTGTAAACGCCCCCACATTAATGTCATTAACATATAAAAGAGCACCAGTCAACGTCCAAATACCTGGAGTACTCTTGACTCTCAGCCACAATGAAAAGTGTGTACACTTGCTTAGAACCTGACATGGCGCTAAGCACTTTTCCACATCATAAAACGTTTTTATAAATATGAATGTTGGAGTGGATTTTAGTGTATGTACACTCTACCAAAGTTAAAATCTATTTTATAAATGAGGCCCCAGAAAACCTAAACCTACATGATCCAAAAAGGTAAGACGAAATCAATATGAATCTAGAGGTAAAATTTTGATTGCTTTATATGATGAACAGTATAGAGCACATGTGTGTGCGTGTGATGCATGAGAACCAGTGAAGTTTGTTCTAGCTTGTCATGCCTGCACACGTATCTGTTTACCATATTTGATGCTCTCTATGTGTGTTAATATGTGAATAAAAGCCTCTCTTAAATTAAGAGACTTTTGAAGATTAGCCGATGGGTTTGGAATGACATGAGAGTGAAATGTTGACAGAATTTTCAATTTTGGGTGAACTATTTCTTTAATCGTGCCTATGTATGTAAAGGAAAAAAAAAAGAAAAGAGTTTCCTTTTGTAAAGCTGTCAGATTCTATAAGACATGCAGCTCAAGATGTGTCTTAAAATAGAAGACACCCCTCCCCCCTTCTCATTGTATGACATATTTGAAAGGAGAGATGAATGGTGACTCAAGCACTGAGCACATAAATTCCTGTGTCATGCTCTCTTCTGAGGCAGATTTTACCATTGTTCATGAATGATGAAAAACTGAGGAGGAATTTGGTTGTGTTCTTACAAGCTCTTAAACACACTAACAAACATAGGCACACACATAATCACACACATACAGAGACCAGTATTTCGACACAGAGGTCCATGTAGGACACTCCCTACGTCAGCAGTGGAAGTAATGATTGGTTAAATGTTTGAAATGGTAGCTGTGGTGAATTAAGCCTGTTTAACCCCCACCATTAGTGTGAAAGGGACACGGGGTCTGTATCTGGCCTACTTTTGGCTTTCAGGATGTACTAACGGGACGTTAGGCAACTTTCAAAAATTAACAAACAAAAAAATATATATTAAAAGTGAAGGGTGATGTTTATAACACACACATAAAACATAAGACACACACACTCAAGACAAACACACACACAGACACAGAGACACACTCAAGACAAACTAACCCCTCTCTTCTTTTCTGTTTCACCCATGGGATGTGACAGAATGCCCTATTCAGTGATATATGTATGGGTGAGAATGTGTGCTTGTGTAAGTGTAACCACTACAATGTGACCCACTTTAGAAGTCATATATGTTTGCAGACTGCTTTTGCAGCCCATCCCTCTCCCGCTCCCCCCCACCCTCCTCTCTCTCGCTCATTCCACAGACACATACACACAAACAGTACAATGGACAGCTTAATTTAAAGCTATTTAATATGACAAATGGCTCTATCTCTATCCTTTTAGTATCTTGGAAAGCTATTATCCTTTCCTGCACAGTCACTGTCTCAGAAAAGCAATTCATGATAAAAACAGTCTCGAGTTACAACTGTAACCCTTGTTCCCTGCGAAGACACTGTGTCGGAAACAACATTTTGGGGAACGCCCTAAGCAGAACATGTCTGAAATATGAACGAAACTAATCCAATCCTGCTTGCTGCAGCGTCATGACGTAGCATGTGATGGCATACACTGAAGCTACAAAAGGGACGCCAGCACACAACAGAGTTAGCTTCTGCGAAGAAGCAAGTCACTCCCAGGCAGGGGGAGACGTGGCACAGTGTCTTGTTCCCTCATTCCCCTTCGAGGGAACTTGCACTGGGTCGGTAACAACACTTTGGGGAACGAATACCCACTATGCAACAATGAACCCCACCAGTTCTAGTGTGAAGCTGTCACAGGCAAAACTTAGGGCGAGAACACCCGTGCAGAAGGGATGTCCAGACTATAAAACCTTGTAAATGTATGAGGGGTGGTCCATTCAGCAGCATCACAAACTTCCTGGACAGAGGGCCCAACGAGGAGGGCTCTAGAGGACGCCATGCCTCTGGTTGAGTGAGCCCTCACAGCCAAAGGTCAAGGCAGATTGTGCACCTGATAGGCCAAAGAAATAGCCTGAACTATCCAGTTGCTGATGGTTTAGGCCCATTCTTGGGTGACCCTAAACACACCAACTGGTCTGACTTTCTTGAGAAGACCTGTAAACATAAATATTGAGAGCTATGGCAGGAAAGAGTTCCATGGTCTTGTGAGGTGTAGGAAGAAAAGCCTGCAGGACCGCTGGCAGTGCCGTGATAGAAGGCACCTTCGGCACATAGCCAGGCATGGGATGCAAGACAGCATTAATCCTTCCAGGAGCAAACTCCAGGCACTCCAGGAGATATAAAGAGGGCCTAAAGATCTTTTACACTTTTAAGAAAAGTGATGGCTAAGAGAAAAGCTACCTTGAGTGAACGATTCTTTGCCTCAGCCGAATCTTGAAACCCCTTCGAGAACCACTGGCAGATACCATGTGGAGACTCTGGTTCGAGTCGGAGGTCTCATTCCTCCTAGCCTCATGGAGGAAATTGTACGACCAGCTGATGTTTTCCCAACTGCCCATCATCCAGAGGAGTGTGGAAAGCCACGTACACCTTGAGTGTAGACGGGGTAAGACCAGCAGAGAAGCGGACCTGGAGCAACTCCAGCACTGAAGCCACCGGGCAGTTAACTGGGCACACACCATACTCTCTACAGCAAGCGGTGAAAATAATCCACTTTAAGCCATACAATTTCCCTATGGATGGAACTCTGGAGCAATGGAGCTTCTAGGTACTGTGCCCGCTCAGGACTCACACCCACAGTTTCAACAGCTCTGGATGAGGGTGGAATATTGAGCCCTCTGCCTGTAAAAGCAGGTTCCTCCTTATCTCCCATGGAGGAGAGAACAGGAGCAATACTATGTCTGACAACCATACTCGGGCCGGGCACAATGGGGCTTATAGGAGTAGACTGACCACGTTGTGATAGACCCTCTCAGTAAGAGCTTTCTTAATTTTTTTTCAGCATATCAATCAGAATAGCATTAATAAATACATAACTCAAAAAAGTATAGACCTGCATAGATTGTCTTACCACTTTAGGTTTAAATGGAGGCTGCACTTCTCTGTTTTCCAGGCGTTCCCAGTCAATCCGACGGAAGAAAGCATGTTCCCTAATATCTCTCTCCCCCTCTTGGCTGCAGCCTAGGCGCTTTGAAGGGTGTTTTGACATCAGCTGCAACACAAGACAAAACAAAATATAATCATTACTGACCTCAAAGCGACATAATTATAAAAATGATCAAACAACAAATAAATAAATAACTATGAATAAATAACTATATAATAACTAAAGATGAGTCAAACGTGTTTATTTAACATCTTGTATTCCAGCAATTGGTTAATGGTTAAGTAATCTTGGTAGTTTTATTAGCCCATTAACTGTCCTTTGTCCTTGTTAAATAGAATTTAAATAATACATGTAAATTGCATGTATGTAAATATGCAGAAAAGCTGAGCTTTATTGTCAATAAATTACACTTAAATTCAAAGATCAACTTTGACCAGCTTTGAGAAAATAAGCCAGTATCAGTTCATAATAGCATTTCAAATTATTGTACTGGAATATTTTTGGACCTCTGGCCCATTTAGATGCATATGTACACAATATTTAACACCAAATAATGTTGGAGAGATTGGGTAGTTGGGTACCATTAGATTCAGTTTACCAGTTCAACTATTCTAATAAGCAAAAAGGACTTACGATACAAATGTGATGTGTTTTTTGTTTTGTTTTTGCTGAAGTAAGATTGTTGAACTTTTTTCTCCTCTATTCTATTCTTTTGCAATGCAGAATGGCAGCACAGATGAACTTATGGTGTGAAAGGACCTTACATTAGCCAAAAATAACATTTTTGTTGATATATAAAAAAAAAAACTAAAAAGGAAGCCCAGCCCAATTGAAAAAATAAATAAATAAATAATAATAATAATGCAAAAGAAACGCAACCCATTACTTTCCATAAAAAGTAACTACAGTAAGTATTGCAGTACTACTTAGTTACTTTTTTTGTTTTGGTAGTAACTATAACGATCAGGTTGTGTAAACGTACGGAGATGAGAATAAACAGGCAGTCTTTAATAATCCACACAGGTTAAACACAAACAGACACACAAACATAACTGAACTGACAGGATAATGAGATGATTGATTAGTGCACAGCTGAAACTAAAGAGAGTCCATGCCAACAAACTAATTAAGGAAAAACGGTACTGTCTGAAAACAAGAGTCTGTGGTGTGAGAGTGTGACAGTGCATAATATTGTAATGCATTACTTATAAAAGTAACTTTCCTCAATACTGGACCGATGCAATGGACGTCACATACTTTGGCAAGTCCAGTAGTTATTTGGCTCTAAAAGGCAAAAATTTTAACAGCTTGCTAACAAAAATAAAAGTTTTCATGATTTATTATTACAGTATTATTATTTTTATTATAAATGACTTAAATTTGCCAGCAAAATACATTTCAGGTAAGTTCATAAATCACTACCCAGTCATGGGCACTTCTAGGTCAGCTTTTGACAGCCACTATGTATCCATTAGTATGTTGCACAGCTTATATGAAAACAGATTATAAAAGTGAGTGTGTGATGACGCAGATCATCAGTTGTGTTCATCGCAGATCATCAACTCTTTCTCTACCTAACAGGATATTCAGGTAACACTTTACTTGAAGGGGTGTGCATAAGACTGACATGACACCTTCATAATCATGACATTTTTCATGAATATGAAGGAGGTTTCATGCATGTTTATGACAACTGTCATTAAGTGTCATTCGCTCAATTATGACATTTTTTTTATGGAAATATGACATTGTTTGAGATGTCTAGGTAATGACACCTTGACATAAACCAATACATCATAACCCATAATCAGTGTCTTTGTAAAGGCCAACTAGACATTACCAAGACAACATAAATTGTCATAAATATGTCATAAACTTGACATAGGTGATTAATTATCAAACTTAAAGGTTCTATTAAGCGATGCTGGGCCAAAACATTTTTTGTCACATACATCAAACGTCTCCTCACTATCGGCTAGCTGCCTGTCCCCTAAACACACTGTAAAAAAACGCGGTCTCTGTAGACACCACAGGCTCCACAAACGGCAACAAAAACAATCATGTCTTACCCGGACCACGAAACCTAACAAACAGTGTTCCAGCCAATCACTGGCAAGAAGTATTTGAGGGTGGGTCTGGGGGGTTAGTGCGCGTGCACATGAAGGGTGTGTGTGTGAAGGAGAGCAGCGAAGCATCAGAGGGAAGTTTGAAAAATGACCGACACACGACCAAAGAGACGTCGTTCTGAAGAACAAATTAAAAAGAAGAAGGAGTCGGATAAAGAACGTGCGAAGTTCCGAATTTACATCGGTAGCAAAGCTTTTGAACGATGGCGAGAACTCCGGCGGCAGAAGGGCTTCCAGTCCGACATTCAGGTTGCTCTGTTTTTGCTGGACAGGTGGGTAACATTAAATAGTTTTTTTTTCTTCTAAATTGACGCTTATGTTCGCCAAACCCACACAAGGATATAATTAGCTAGAACTATGCACGTTCACAATTATTTCAGGAAGCACGGAAGGGAGGGGGAGGAGATGAGATGCGGAGGAGGGAGGGTCTAGCTCCGATTTGTTTGAAAATATTCAAACGTCAACACCCAGGATCGCTTTGAGAACCTTTAACATTACATTAATCTGTCCCGTGGTTGGTTTTGACATTGGCTGTCAACCAACCACATGACAGATTAAAGAGCACCTATCATGGATTTATGAAAATGACTGTTCATGTAGAGTGGACTATACACTCTAAAAAATGCTGGGTTGTTTTAACCCAACTTTGGGTCAAATATGGACTAACCCAGCCATTGGGTTAAATTTTTACATTACATTTTTAACCCAACATTTCGGGTTTGTCCATATTTGACCCAAAATTGGGTTAAAACAACCCAGCATTTTTTAGAGTGTAGGTCTAAGGGAATGAAAACATCCTGCAAAGATTTATATCTGAAATTGCACCATATATAAAGTTATTGTCTTTCAAAAGTGAGTCGACTCTGAGTCTATGAAATGAATTGTTTTTGAAACGAGTCATTAGCTGTTTCGTAGTGACGTAGATACGAAACATTAGCTCATTGGCCGCTCCCAACAACTGCGTGCGCAGACGGGAGTGTAAACTTGAAGTCTAGAACACAATACTTCAGCTGAATAGGATCATGTCGAGAAGACGCTGTGTTTTACATTGCAAAAATAGTTCAGCCACTTGTTTTCATTGTCCAGGGACGAGCACTTGAAGAATCAGTGGTTAGAGTTCATATTTGCAACGATACTACAACAGTATAGCCCGAACCTTGTGTTCTCATCATTTTAACGACGAATCATTCAAAAACATAAATGAATTCAAATGTGGATTCGCAAGCCGGTTGTTCCCGAGGAGGGCTCAGCATCCAGTGTATATGGATCAGGTTCGTCCTCCTCCGAATCACTGTAAGTATTATTAATAATGTTTGCTGTTATGTTTTCTGTAACATGCACAATATAGTTATATTCTGTTGTGTGTGTTTTGTAAATTGGTCCTAAAATTAGGACTGACATGCCAATTATTTTTAAGAATTCTCCTAAATCGGCAAGTTAAGAGCTACTTTAGCTTAAAAATCTTTTGTGAATATAGCTTCTGACAAGGTCAAATAGTTCAAGTTTTAGTTTTTAGTCAGATAGTTGCATCCAATAACAACAGACTGCATTCATGACAAATGAACCCTGAAACCTGATAAGACATTATTAAAAATGAAACCAGGGGTTCATGTGTTTTTTTTTATCTAAATTGGATCAGTTCCTGCAGTGAATTTATGATGGGCTTTAAGCAGAAGCAATTAATAATAAGTGATTAAAAGATGTGATGACAAAACAATACAATACAATTTCCTATTCTATACATTTCAGGGATTTACACTCAATGTAATTTAAGATATTCTGAAATCAAATGTTATATTTCTGTCAAAATAATCTTCTGATCTTCATGATTCATAGGAACCTAATGACCTGATTTTTTGAATTTCTGGTATCTTCCTCAGAGATATATCCTCCATATTTGTTTGATATATAGCTCTTGTCAGGTATGAAATGAGCTTATAAGCCTGTGCTTTCTGGCCTCAGCCAAATATATCCATCATTCTGGGGACGCAAAGTATGTAACTCTTAAAGAGCATCTATTATGCAAAATCCACTTTTATATTGTGTTTGGACATAAATGTGTTGGCCACTGACTGACAGTCCTGCATTATTATCGTTTCCGCCTTCAGCGAGTTAGAATCTGCCATTTTCTCTGTGCTCGAGCAGCTGTAGTGACAATGTCTCGCAAGCAATCCCGGTGTTTTGTTGTTGAATGTTAGAGTGAATATAAGAGTCTGCATTTTCACCCATTATCCAAGCCACTGAGGACGCAGTGGATTAATTTTAGTTTTGAAGGTAACGCACCACAAATTATACCTAAATTCGTTTATGCCTGCACAAATCATTTCACTCCAGACTGGTTTGCGAACGAGACAATAAAGGGACAATGGGACAATACGAAACACAGGCTTTGCTAAAAAGATGTTACGCAAGGATGGATTAGTACCAACTGTTCGTGATCCAGCTTACAGTCTCCAGCATAAAGTCTGTATATATTTGTTTACTATTAGTTGTAACGAGTGGTTTTGTGTAATTCGCTGTGCAAGTTAAAGTGTCATACAAGAGAGAGAGAGAGAGAGAGAGAGAGAGAGAGAGAGAGAGAGAGAGAGAAAGAGAGAGAGAGAGAGAGAGAGAGAGAGAGAGAGAGAGAGAGAGAGAGAGAGAGAGAGAGACTTTTTTTGACTTTTAACACACTTTATTAAAACATCTTAAAACCGAACACTTCATTATATTTCACAGAGAGAGAGAGAGAGTTTATGGATAAGACTTTAATGCACACTTCGTGTACTGTGATTTATTCAGCTCTCAAAGTGATTTTCTGGAGTGAAAACGGACTCTTCATCTTTTGTGTGATATAAATACATTACATTACATTACATAATACATTTCATAAAACTGATTAGTAAAGTTTTGGCCATCATCCGGACTGGGTCCGCTACAACAGTCTTGTAGTAGTGTTGCACGGTGCACCGATACTTCAAAAGTATTGTGATACTCAGAAATGAAAAACCTCATGATAACTAAATTTACTAGTATCGATACTTTTATGAATGACCGCGTTCCAGATTTGTAAGAAATATATTTTATGTTGATGTGTGCAAAGCACGCTTCCAGTCTCTCCCTGTATGGATGTCTGTGTTTTTTCTCCTCACGCACGCAGCAACGAAGCTGCAGCTGTCATGAGGCAAACACTACAGTGAGACGGCTGCATGTGCGAGCACAAGTGATACTGTGGCCGCCGGTCAGTAGCGGAGTGGAAATCCAGAGAGTCGTGACTTTTCCCGGTGGGCCTGTAGTGTTTCGAGGCTGCGAGGGCCGGTCTGATAGTTATAATTTGCAAGTGCTTAGCATAGGGCTGGGCGATATGGCTGAAAACTTTATCACGATATAAGTGTTTCATATCGGTCGATATCAATAATCATTGATTTTTTTATGACCCATTTAAAATAAGGACCAGGAAAAAATATATATATTACATTTAAACATTTTTATTTTAAACTTAACTTTCCTCTGATTATAATCCCAAGAAAGAAATGTCAACACAACCATGGAAAACTCAAAAAATTAAAATGTAAACATAAGTCTAAATTCACAATCAGACCTGCAAACTCCTCAGAGTAAAAAAGGTGACAGTGGTGCAGTGTGGCGGGACTTGGGTGGTGGGGGGTTGTGGTCGTACGTGCTTGATTTTTTTGTGATTTTAATATGCAAATGACACATTTCTGAGCGTGACTTAACAAAAATCAGCATACTTATCAAAAATATTTGTGTGCCAACCCTGAAGTTTGTATCTTACACATACACTGTATCATAAGAAGTCAGGGCAGAGCACCCGGCTAACGATAAGCCTAGCTAACGTTACAGATATTCCACCATTTGGGGAAATTAAGCTCATTTTTCACCTCCCCTCAGGTAAAACATTTCTTTTTTTTTACTATTTAGGAAACCATTCAGTTGATCTCCAGGTCTGGCAGTACCACTTTTACCATAGCTTAACATAATTCATTGTATGACGACAATACTAGGGGAGTAACTGTACACAGAAGTCACAGTTCGGTACGATTTCGTGAAAAGCAGTGGAGTGAAAAGCAAAACAGAAATATAGAAGGCATTTTTATAAATGTATAAAATAATACCATATAAAATACACACACACACACACACACACACACACTCCAGCATTGCAATCTTGACATCGCAGGCTGTTCATTATGCTGTGTTCACATCAAACGCGAATAGAGCGAATTATCCAATAATGTTTCGCAATTCTAGCCTGAATGGCATGCAGATGAAGGGCACTCATTTTCTGCTTCTCAATCGCCGGTTACTGAAGAGGAATCCAGCAGCACGAGACAACGAAATGGTGCAACCAAACTGACACCGGTACATGATTGCCTGTTAGCGTGTCACTCCCTACGTTGCTAGCTTACCAGAGAGTGAGTGCCTTTGTTAGTGCATGCTTGAAGCTCCGCCTTTTTCTTGAAAGGGGTCTGGGAGCAGCAGCTAATTTGCCTTTAAAGGGACACAGCGAGTTTTTGCTTAACCCTAAAAAGTGGCAATTTTAACATGCTATAAAAAATTATCTGTGGGGTATTTTGAGCTTAAAATTCACATACGCAGACATCAGAGACTTAGACAAAGATGCAAGATAGTGACATGGATTTTGACTTTTTGATTACATCCTTTTGACCTTGAATGCATTTATTTACATTAAATAATAAATCTATAGAAACTTATTAGAGAGAGAGAGAGAGAGAGAGAGAGAGAGAGAGAGAGAGAGAGAGAGAGAGAGAGAGAGAGAGAGAGAGAGAGAGAGAGAGAGAGAGAGAGAGAGAGAGTCAGGAAGAGTAGTCATGCTGAAGTTCAGTTGGGCTGTAGAACCTGGAACATTTTTTTCTTTATGTGACAGAACTCACCCCTTTGCAGATGGAAACTGCTTCTTTGGACATGGCTTTAGGGTAAGAGACGTTGTGCTCCATAATGGACTGGAAAAGTTCATCTTCATCCTCACCATCAAATGGAGGCTTGGAAGGGGAAAAAAAGAACAATCAACATCAAATTAAAATGAATATCAAATATATATTTTAATATTAAATATGGGTTCTTAAATTATTGCACTCTTCAAATGTGGCATTATAGAATTTACCTTAATCTTACCCTTAAAAAAAAAAGTATATTGGCGTCATATACAATGGGCAAAACAAGATAAGATCATTATGTTTGAACAAGGCGGTAATACCATAGTATTATTTGAAGGATCGTATAGTACCATTTAAATGCATGACATATGAATATATGTAAGAAAGCGTACCATGATATATACAGTACTAAAGCACCATGATATCATCATCGATACATTACTGACAATTTGTATTTCTTCTCGATTCGTGAGCAACGTTGGTGTTGAAGTGTTTCACAAAAATTAAGCTTACCATCAGTTCTAGAAGGTCACTTAGAAATTCGGCAGGCAAGCAGCCTCAATTCACAAGGAATCGTGCAAACGGAATTTAGCAAGAGGAATGCGTTCCCCACAAGGATTTCATCTCAGATTTATTCAAGATTCGCCACAATGATCATAAGCTGCCTGATTTGGAAGTGACCTCAGTCTGCATTGCTCAGTCTGATTCACTCGCCATTCATCCCTGAAAATCTTCACAAAGCTAAGCTAAGTTCTTTTTTAATGCTCATTGCTAAAAGATACCAGGGAATTGGCAACATGTTTGTTGCTAATGCTATCTGTGTTGCTTGGGCTTATCTAGTCGTTTTCATTAAAATACTCTTGCTAGGCTTATGTGATCATATTGGCTATGTGCGTTACATGTCACAATAACATGAAAACGTTGTTCTTTTGTAAAATAACATAAAATAATCCGGCACGCTTTATGATCTTCGTGAACTGAAGCGCGAGAACTGAAACATTAGCCTTATAGACTAAAGCTTTAAATGTCCACTTTAAAAAGAACAAATTTTGAATGGTAAACTAATACCTTCTGATTATGTAATCCGTATGAAAGGTGCAGTTCTCTCTAAAGGTGCATCCGGAGATTATGTTTTTAGCTCGTTATTTTTTCAGACGCATTTATAATAACTCACCAATAGCCTAAAGCACTGTGGGAAAAATATCATAAATAGGCTATCCATGTTCTAATTTGGCCTTAGAAAACCAGTAAAATCTACATTTTTAAATTTTAAATTTTTACATTTTAAAATGAACTAGTTCAGTTCAAAGTTTGCACAGAAATGTAAGATTTTTCCCATCTTCACCGACCTCGTTAAAAAAATTCGTTTAAATTATCATACGACGCCTTTGTCGACGGCGGCCGCGGTGCAACACTGGTGGCTTGTGTTGCCAGATTGGGTGTTTTTTTTCCGCTACATATTGAGCCCTGTTTAGGGTGAGTTTTAGCCGGGTTGTCGCCTGGAAGGCTGTATAGAAATCTGGCACCCCATTGAACGAAGTTAAACTGAGAGAGCGTGCGTTCACAGACACCATAATGAACGAGTTCACACGTTCATCAGGACAGGCAGTTAAACAATACGTTCAGTTCACCCAAAATATGAACAAGTTCATGAACGTGAATGTGTTCAGGCACAACGTTTGGCTGCCTGGGTCTCGAGGATATAGAGTGACCGACTTTTTTTTTTTTTTTTTTTGAGCAAGCATTGATTATGCGTGACACGGTCTCAATTTGCAGGACGCATGAATTGGGCTTCAAACACTGTGCGCGCACGCGCTACTCGGGACGGGTGGTCACTCTACCTGTGGCCCATGCCCGGTGAGTCACACGGGTGTTTAGCCAGAGCTGATTCTGCTGAAGCTGAAGTTCATTCGCAACATCGTAACCTACCCAGCATCTATAGTGACATTCACTCAGCTCCAATGAACAAATCTGAATGAGTGATGCATGCCAGCTCCTTTAAAACCTGTATGGGGTAGTGGTGCATGCGAATTTCACACGCCAATTTTCATTGGCCTTTTCTGAAATATCAGCGGTGTTTAGGGGCTCCCAAGTGCGACCCCAAGTGTCAGCATTTGGCACCACGTCAAAGTGACTCACAGATAGGAAACTTTATATTGGATACCTGCACTAATAATAGAGAACAATAAAATAAAGAACCTTAGATATATACTGTATTACTGTATGATGAGTTATCTTTGACTTTACGAAATTGATTTTCTGATTCCAGTAGTGGTGTCAATATTATATATGCCTTAAAACAGAGTTGTAGCACATTTAAATTATTCCAGTCATGCTATTTAAAACTATCCAAACATTCTGGTTGTATCTGAACACTATCTACACTTCCATAGAGTATACTGCAACAGAGCATTTAACAAAAATATTATAAGACAATTATTAGTAACAGTTGTTGATGTAGGATTTGATGGTTATACACTTGTGAACTCACTTGTCCCGCCAGCATCTCATACAGCAGGACTCCATAAGCCCACCAGTCCACAGAACGGCCATATGGTTGATACGCTATTATCTGAAAACAGAGAAAAAAAAGCCTACAGATTAATATTAATTAAAGATCAGCAAATTGTGTTAATGTAAAATATCACTAGCCTAGAAATCTAGATGCACCCTAGTGGCAGCAAATTTTATTTTGTAACCAGGGTGGTCTAGTAACTCTCCATTGGCTTTCGAGCTGGAACAAAACAAACTCTATTCAGGCCAATCACATCGTAAATAGAGTCGGCGGGCGGGCTTAACATAATGACGACAGAGTTGTGACGGTTCTCTGCTACTTGAAAACAAAGAAAGGCTGCTGCTGCTGGTGAACAGAGGTCTTTCGAATCAGCTTTGCCTGCAACTCTGGAGGACTAGGAGTTAAGCTTTTCTTTGAGAAAAGAACAGCACTTAAGTTATTCTTAAAAAAGGAAGATGTGTTAGTAGTTTTGCCAACCAGATACGGAAAAAGTTGAATTTATCAATTAGCTCCGCTGGTGGGAAAACGCTCTGGGGTGCGTTTCCCGAAAGCATCGTTAGCCAACTATGGTCGCAAGTTCCGTCGTTATCAGCATAGTTCAACGATTCGGTGTTTCCCGAAACCATCGTTCCAACGAACATTCACAAACAGCATTGCAAAGTTGTGTGGTTTGAACGACAGCTCTCGACCTATGGTTAGAAGCATCGTTTCTATATTGCAACACATTTGGAGGTAATAAATCATTATCTTGAGCATAATGAGCAAGCTGACATTCAGTACAACCGGTGTCTTTTATTTAGAATACTTACAAATGGAATTTACATCTTTTAGTTTGTCAAGAGATTTGAAGTAATGTGTTTGAAAAGTGCGCATGTGCGAACGCGCTCCACTATGTAAGAACGAGCCAAATATTGAGTCTGGTAATAAAACAAAACAACTGAGAACAATTAGAAGTAGTCCTCAGATGACATGTCTGTAATTTATATAAAACAAATCTAGCGTTAATTGGATCTCAAACAGTTTCATTAAAAGCAGTTATTACTCCACCATGTGCGAAACCAACGTGGTTGAACGATACTTTGCGACAGTGGGTTTCGTGACTAGCTAGTTGATTTTTCCAACGATCCATCGTACTATGGTAGTGAAGCAGTGAACTACGTCGTTGTACGGGAAACACACCCCTGGTTGGTTGGAGCCGCTATCCTATTGCGTGCAGAGGGAATTTGAAAGACAGCCGTTTATCCTGCCCCTCGGATTGAGCTCTTCCAATGGTGAGTTCCCAGACACAACATCTTGGTTTTGGGTCTGGCTTGCCAGGTTAAAATATCACACTACTGTTTCAGAACATCACTTTTCCCATCGTCCGCTACCCAGAATCTGGAAGTACATCTCCGCTAAAAATAAATTGTATTATTTGCCCTGTAATCCAGTCAAAATATTTAAACACTCCCAAAACAAAAATAATTCAACAGATCAGCAAAACTTTAAGATAAGACATTCTTGAAGAAAGATTTTAATTTATATTTGTTAAATTATAAAGCCTTGGCATATCAACCATAATGTTTCAAAACACGACACGTATTCTTGATATAAGAGGAAAAGAAATAGGGGCACAATTCTTTGGGACCCGGATACAAAACAAAAGCTAAAATGTTCTTATATTTAATAAAACTATACAAAATTGTAATTGAACTTGGGTGGGTGCAGGTATGTGAGAGCATGTGTGTAAGTAAATTATCAATAATAAAAACAGACACCTTTTCTAACATCTCAGCTTATCTGGCAGTCAGCTTTCTTGGCTGATGTAGTTCATAGCACTTTCAGTGCATGTGTGTTTGTATGTGTGACATCAGACTAATACAATGTGACAGTTCTAAATGGCTCAAGGTTTTGTTTGTGGCTTTAGATGTTGAATCTTATGTTTCAAAATACAGAACCAAAGAGAACCTAAATCAAAACCATAGAGTACATTTCATAACAAGGGCTAACTGAGATGTAAAAAAATAAATAATATCGAACTAATACTAATATCGTATACTAAAACTAATATCGTATCTCAGCTCAATATTACCAATCACATGAAGCTTGAAACTCATGAATACTGTAATAGATAGAAATAATTTCGTTGTAATTTCTTTGTTTTAACACTTTGGGCCCTATTTTAACGATCTAGGAGCATGGTCTAAAGCACACGGCGCAAGTGCACTTAAGGCATGTCAGAATCCATTTTTACTAGTTTATTTACTATTTGCTAGTAAAATGTCACCATGCCCGATGTATGGTCTAAAAGGGTTGTCCCTATTCTCTTATTGAGTAATGGGTGTGTTTTGGGTGTAATGTGAAATAAACCAATCAAGAGTCTCAGGTCCCATTCCCTTGAAAAGCCAGTTGTGCTCGTGCCATGGCGGATTCGCTATTTACATGGCGGAATTTGCAAGCGGAAAGACTGAATGCTTCTCCAGAAAAGAAACGAATCTGCTCATTTGCGAAGTTAACACGTGCAAGCAGACCATCTACGGAACAAGCCAGATTCCACCATATCTTTATGTACACATTAATAATCTTTTACTTTAATTATTTTATTTTTAATATTTGGCATGTTTGTGTGCTGCTGCTGCCGCCCTGTGTTTGTAATAAGAAAAGTGTGCACGGGTTGTTCACCCACCTAAAGCAGCATATGCGCCCTTTAAATAACAAAAGAAAAACTGCTCCATTGACATAAGACCAAAGGGCGCATTTGAAGGCCGATTGCATCACCGCAGCACGATGAAGGCTGTCCCAATTCAGTTACGCATCGACCGAAGGCCGTATTCGAAGGCTGGTTGCGTCATCGCGGCACGCCGAAGGCTACCCTGATTCAAATGTGACGGCCAAATGCACCCTTTATTTCGCCGAGAAAAAGAGGATACATAAATGGATCCTACCCGATCCTATCCTACCCCATAAGTCATTGCGCTGGTGACGACAGCATTTTTTTTTTTTTTTTTAAGCGGCCGAGAGTTCGGTGGTGGACGGCAAATTCACATTTAAACGTAAAAGTAGCCTATTGTTTTCATTAATCAAATAGCCAGAGAAACCAGTGTTAACAGCCAAAAGTTTTTTCTTCTTCTTTTTCATCAACTCATTCATGACCATTGTGTGGCTTTATTTGTCTTGTGGAAACACGAAAACGAAAAAAAAAAAAAAAAAAACAAAAAAAACATTTATGTACATTATTATTCATAATTTATTATTTTATGCAACTTTAAATGTGTTAAATAAAATAATTCATGGCTCTGGACGTTGTTTATTTTTGTAATGGCATCTGAGTGTTTGCAAGGTTGATACATTTAAACTATAGGACTGCCTACTTTAGTGTATTTAATGTAAAACAATGCGTAGTGTTGCTGTCCGTGAGGGGAAAAAGTAGGCTACTTCACATTTAAGTGAATAGCCTATGAAGTAGGCTGTGAAGTTCATTCCCCCACTAGTTATTTTGAAAATTAAAGGAACAAAATGTTGGTATATTGTGACAATATTAACAAATTGTTGTTAACTACAGCTGCGTCCCCCCATAAGTGTGCATCTGAAGCTCTCGGACCGGTCCACGGTTCTTTCTTGTCGCCAACTGCTGGATGACGAGCGGAGTAACATTACCTTGCACTGGACTAATTATATTTAACTGGTTTTAAATATTCAAATAGGGTTGAAAACCTGTATATTTATATTTTACTGTAGGACATGAGAGCAGGGCCCTGCTCCCATGACCTCCATTAATATATATATATATAAAAGACAATATAGCCAATTCTGTCCCCATAGCTGTTTACTCAATTTTATTAAATGAATGATCAGGGTGGCAGCAGTACTCTCGCACTGTTACTTGGCGCCAGGAGCGGTAATCGGGAACACCTGGTTGCGCAATTAGGAAATCCCACGAAGACTACATGGTGCGTCCTTCGAAGGACGAATAGGCTGCATCCTTCGCAGTCCTTTTTTTTCTTATATATCTCATTTACCATTGCGTGCTTCATTTGTTATGTGGAAACGCGCAAACGACATTATAGCCTACATTGTAGCTACATTATTTCTTTATTAGGCCTATTCATTATTTTAATATATTTGATGCAACTTTAAATGTGTACATAAAAGAGAATTCATGGCTCCAGATATTTGATTATTTTTGTAAGGGTCTCTGAGTGTTTGCAAGGTTGATACATTTAAACGATATACTTTTGTGTAGTTTAAAGTAAAATGTTGCTGTCCTGTGAGGGAAAAAGTAGGCTAGGCCTACTTCATATTTGTACATGAATACGAACGCAGTATAAGTTCCTTACATTCTCCCACTGGTTATTTAAAAAATTAAAGTAACAAAATGTTGGTCCATTGTCACAATATTAACAAATTGTTGCTAACTACAACTGCGTCCCATATCAAAGTGCGCACCTGAAGCGCTCAGACCAGTCTAGCCTGCGGAGGATTGTTGTTCTTGTCGCCTAGCAACTGTGACTGACAGCTGTCGACGACGAGCGGGAGTAAGGACGTTTGCACTGGACCTTTTATATCCATCTGCTTTAAAATATTCAAATAGGATTGACAGCCTGTATAAATACATTCATCATGGTCCATTTCTGTAGACAATAAAACGAATAGGCTACCCTACAAAATCGACATGAAGACATGAAAATATAAAACATAAAATATCCATTAAAAATAGCCTATAGCCTAAAACAAAACAAAAATGACAATAGCCAATTCTGTCTCCATAGCTTTTTACTCAATTTTATTAAATGAATGATCAGGGTGGTAGCTGTAGCCTACTCTCGCACTGTTGCTTGGCGTCGCGCCAGGTGCGGTAATAGGGAACACCTGGTTGCGCAATTAGGAATCCCACGAAGGCTACACTCGGTAAGTCCTCCGAAGGCTGGTTAGGCTGGGTCCTTCGAAGGAAGCGTCCTTCGAAGGACGCAGCCTTCACATTGGGACACAGCTAGTGTGTGTACACAACCTCCCTATAACTAGGGTTGGGAACCGAGAACCGGTTCTTTTCCAGAACCGGTTGTGTTTTTGAAAAAATA